AGCTATATACTTATCAAAACCGACCCTGAACAATAAATTTACACATTAATGTCTGTGTCTGTGTGTTTCCTTTGTCCCCTGGCCTTTGTGGGCACCTCATAGTTGCTGAAGTCGATTCAAGAGCTCTGTGTGTAAGAATGAAAGAACTTCAGGTATTTCTCAAAGCTTAAGATTAGAGCATTGCTCCCTTTATCTGACAGAAAAGAATACTGGGTGGGCATGTTTGTGACCTCTACCTCATCTGCGTCTGTGACAGTCACAGCGTTTGCTGTCCTGGTTCTTTCCATCTGAACATCTTCATCCTCTGCTTCAGGTTCTTCTGGGTTTGGGAAAAACTCACTGTTTCTTGGAGAAATTCTGAAATCAAAACAAGGTGAGAATGACATCCTTTCAAGTTAAAAAACTTGCAGCAAAAATAATGAATTTTCTACAAACTATGTTATTAATAATTTGAATAGATTTGCTATGAGCACAGCATAATCTGTCCTTGTATGCTGCACCATGTGAGTCAATGATGTTACTCTTACATTATCTTGCCTTTTAACCTAAATTTATTTCTCTTGTGAGGATAGTAATTATTTTTCCAAAGAACAAAAGTGATGTCCATCCTCTGGCAAAAGGTTTTGAAGCAATGTTGCCTGAGGAGGTCCAGGAACTGTAATTTTGATACAGCTATTTTAAAGTTTTAAAGGCTTTATGAGAACCAGGCATCCAAAGATTTGGAATCAGCATTATGCCACAGAAAGTCCAGGACATCCAATCACCATAGCAGCATCTGATCAGTTACTGAGCACAGCCATTTCGGGGGAAGATGTGTCAGAATCACTCTTTCCTCACTCTGCCAGTCTGGTTCTCTCCTTCATCACCCACCATTGACTCCTGCTGATTCTCACATCTCTCTCTCCTGCCGATTCTCACATCTCTCTCTCCTGCCCTGGTTAGGTCTCCTGGGTGTTCCCTGGTCCCCCAGTTAACCAGGGTCAGGAGTGAGTACTGTACCAAGTAGAGCCAACGCCAGAGGAATCACAGATTAAAAGACATTACACACACACGCACACTCACACACACACACACACACACACACATTCATTGCAAAGGGAAAGTGCGTTCCAGAGGAAAGACTGGTCATTCTTTGCAAGTGGAGGAAGATTCCCAGGTCTGAGTACAGGCTGGCTTTATGTGCTCACCAGTTTGTCCTGCCTTTTTCCTGGTGGGATTTGTGGCTAGTTCCTGCCTTTGGAGTAACTGACAGGTTGGGGTTATATAACAGATTACCTAACAGGTTAGATTATATAACAGCTTCCTTACTACTCATGCATCCTCCCAGAATCCCTGTGCTCTGCTATGCTATGCTAATTAGATGGTAATGAGCCCCAAATCAGTTCCAGGTCACCAGAACTCCTTACTCTGTACATTCCCACTAGGTCCTCGCCTCAATTTGGTTCCTAGTTTCAACTCAGTTCCCGTCCTCTTCCCTTAGCCACTTCCTTGCCACATGTTTACCCTCCAGCTGACCTAACACCATCCCAAATTGCTGCTGTGAGTCAGTTTCCTAAAGCATGGCTGTCATCTTGTCACTATCCTGTGCTAACACCGACATTAGAATGAGCTGGATTTCCACTGTGCATGGTAGACCAGGTTATCAAGATACACCTGAGTCTTGGTTGCTCATTATGTAATTTGAAAAGACTTCCCTATACTTCCCTATTTCAAAACCCTCTGATAACTGGCTTGAATTTCATTGTCTATTATCTGGAGCCTTCCAGAGTGCTCCAGCAGCCTTCTCCAATCTGCACAAAGAGGGCATTCATCTCAGCCTCCGTCCTATTGCTCAGACTACTACTCCTGCTTCCTGGATCATCCACACTTACCCAATGGCTTATTGAGACTTATTCATTATTTTAAAGATTCTACTTCTCACATATAACTTTCCTCAGCAGAGAAATTCTATTCTTCCTTGATTTTTCATCACCTCACGTGTGTTCATGTGAATTTTTGCATGGGATTTTAAGGTAAGTAGAGTTTTATGAAACAGTAATTTTTATATACCACAGAAATAACTTTAACACCATCCTGTGAAATACTTCTTACTAAATTAATTTAAGCATTTAAAATGTCTTTAAACAACGAATGTTAACATAAAGCAGAATTATATTTGAATTTTCTCCACCTGAACACAGGATCCTTTCTCATTGATTGTTTCCTGAAGTTCTTTTCTAGACATCTCAGAATGAAGAAGAAAATGAAAAAATGAAGGTAAGGCTACAGGAAAAGAAAGAAAATCAAAATTAACATCACCATATGAGCAATAATTTCAATGTTGGAATTGACTGAAGGAGAGGGATAGGACATAAAACTGGATTTGATAACATTTTCATGAGATTGAAAGACAATCTACATAAAATCTTATGAAACTCCCCAAATTAGCTTCACTGCTGTCCAGAGAGAGCATGACAGATTTCATAGTTTTAACAGGATGAAATCAGTACGACTCAAGCCATTTTAGAGCTCAGGCTTCACACTTGGCATCAGACAGCTGTTGTAAAGATAGTGATACACATTTAAAATTCACTGTATGTGCATATCTGTTGCTTCAGATGCCCAGAAATTTCAAATCTTTTTAACTTGATGCGATTCAAAGAAACTCAAACCATACATGGCTATGTTCCCTCATGCAAGAACATTGACCAGGAGGTGTCTTCTTACCAGTAGCAGGGCCACGCATATAACTGGAGTTCCTGGATATCCCTCGTAATCCATGGGGGCATGAAACACCTGTAAAATGAGGAGAGAGTGTGTTCAGGTGGACCTTTATCTGTTCATGGAATTGGCCCAACCCGAGACAAATCACTGCCCATTAAATGGCCTTAGGACAATTCTACCTGATCCTCCCTCCAGGACCAGGTATACGCTAATTTCTGTTTGTGTAGATTTGCCTTTGCTTCCAAGATATCTCAGTGAATTGTCGACCTATGCTCGTCTGTAAACTGAGACACTTTTGTACATAACACCGTGAGTTAGCAGGATTTGCCCTGTTAGGAGACTCTGCAGCTGGTGCTGGCAGGACTCGCTGAAGCAACCTACAAATTTGTCTTAAGACAAATCCCCTAACCTGGCTTCCCCTTTTCTCCTGGAGGGATTTGTTGCTATTTCCTGCCTTTCAAGTGACTGACAGGTTGGGGTTATAAAACAGATTACCCAACAAGTTAGGTTATATAACAGCTTCCTGACTACTCATGCATCCTCCCAGAATCCTTTGTGAACACTCTGCCCATGCTATGCTAATTAGATGGTAATGAGCCCCAAATCATTGCAGGTCACCAGAACTCCTTACTCTGTACATTCCCACTAGGCCCATCCTCACCTGTGCTCTTTCTCTCTATTCTTCCACCTGGAGCCCTGGAATTGCTACATCGCTCCTGCCCTCTGACATTTGCTTTTGAAAATAATCATAACTATCCCTTCACACTGAAGGCAAAGTGATTGCCTCAGAGTTTCACCTGGGTATATGTTAGGCTATTTTCCCAGCATCCTGCATCTTTATTGAATAAAGGCAAAAAGGGCTAATTTTATTCCTAGAGCTAAACTCATTAAGACTTTTCCTGAGCAATTTTAAGCCCTTTGCAGTAAATTTTTAACCATCACAGCCTTCCACCATCCACCAGATGATTTTTTTGGTAATTT